CTTTGTATTTGCTTACCAGCAAAGAATTTAACAAAGATTACAAAAAAGAGGGTCACTGCACTATCTTCTCCTTTAATATTGGTTTGTCCTTACAAGAAAGGCTACAGTGGTAATTAATATTTACATGATGGTAGTGCCCAGAACTCTGATCATGATTAGGGCTTACTGGACTAAGCTGTATATAAATGTCACCAGAGTCCCTCATCCCAGTAGTTTAATCTCTGAGAAAAGAGTTACTTCCTGCTCCCAATCACAGTTGCTCAAGTAATGCTGGGAAGTGTTTTCCTGGTCTATTAAGACTTCACCCATTAAAGGCATTTGTTCAGGGTGTGCTGTTGCTGGAGATGACTTTCCAAGCTACTTCATACTCTAGAAGTGGAACAGAGAATCTGGATTCCCAAACCCTCCCATGTGTTTTCCTCATAGCCTACACCTACCGAGATCCATTTGAAATGATGCTGTTCCATGAGCCAAGTGTATCTAGTTTTGGATTTAGTTCACTACTAATTCCCGACAGAGGTCCTCTGAAATCTGATTTAGTACCGACTTCTACAACAAAAAAGGTGTGTCAACCAGAAGAAAAACTCAGCACTCTAAGCATCTTTCAGAGGCATTAAAATGAGGTAGAACAGAACTGTGAAGCAGTTAATAAAATCAGGAAGGGATTGCTGATGTGCTGTTTTGCACAGTACCAAGCATAATGAAACAAGACAACTGACATCTTAAAAAAGTTCATCTGTCCAAGCAACAGTATGTAATATTTTGAGCTCTAGAGCTCATACAACCATAGATGTGCAGAATCACAACTAACTTTGTCAGGTCACAGCACCGCATGAGATTCAAGTGGCATTCTACCTCCACTGCTGGCTACTGTTTTGTTTTGCACAGGAATTGCTTTGCCTCAATGAAAACACCCAGTGAATAACTGATGTCACAGAATGAATCCATAAACTCTGAATTCTGAACGATCTAGCAGAGTAGTGATTCTCTCAGTTCCAGATACAATCTTCCCCTTCCAACACTGCATGAACTCCAGAAAGCACAACATAAACCTAAGTTATAACACTAAAGCTACAATTTCTCTACAGTTCACACAGATGCAGGTGAGGACCACCACAACCCCACCTTGTCCACAGCCTCCATCCATGCAAGCTCATGCCTCCACACTTGCACTCGTGGGCTTGCATTAAGCAGTTTAGGGATGGGAACTGGCAGAAAACTTGCCTTACAAAAAGAAGTGAACTGTCTTCTGTCTGTCTGCGGCTCTGTGACTGCTACAGGGCGTGACTGTGAACACTAGAATCTGCTGTGCCACCATGTCTCAGCTGACAGGATGACAGCATCTTAAACCCTTCCAGCAAGATCATACAGTCATTTAGGATATGGCTAAAATCAAAGTTTCTGTGGCCCCCTGTCTGTGCGCTTTCCCATCACAGCTACTGATTTCCATCTCCTTGTCCAAGGTGCCACTGATGCCCATGCAGTCACTCAGTGATTCAGTCAAACACTAACCAGAAATAGAGGGAGATTATTTTTCATCTGGTTCAGTTCCCCAAGTCAAATCCACTGGCCAGTCCCAGGAGCAGCAGTGGAGGAGACAGGATGGCACAGACAACACATGGTGGGGCACTGAGCAGGACTGCAGCTGCCCTGGCTTACAACAGCTCAAGATGCCACAGAGCTTTTACCTGTATGTTGCAAAAAAAAAAAAAAAGCCTTAGCAGAAACCTGTCTTTTAAAAGCTTGGCAACCTTGGGCCATTTGACCTCATAGTTCAAAAAAGCACACCTGACACTGGGCACAAAAGGGCCTTATTTAAACAAAGTAACAGCAAAAACAGTAGCAGCTACCTGAAATTATTTTAATACTCATGCTAATTAAAAAAATATATTAATTAATGTTTTCTGCTCCTTATTCTAGCAAAACAATCCAATGTGAACATTTATAAATGCAGTTATTAAAGACAAAATAAAGGATTAGTCTTCATACACGCACAGCCTATTGCTGACACAAGCTCCTTTACTGCAACAACAAATCAGCAGATGCATCCTTTGGAAGCTTTTTCCTGCAAGTCTGCTCCAGTTTTCTCACAATAGAAAAAATGTGTATTTTGCTATTATCCCTTAAGTGTTGATAAATATGTTCTGTAGTAGTTGTTCTCCAGACAATTTCATTCAGGTCTCTCCCCCTTTATTCTTCCACTCTAATAGGGAACAGTTTCTGTTTATGACTTCCTTTCCTTCACAGAGTACCTAACTCCCATGTTTTCTCAAAGGCTTGAGATTTCCTTCTAATTGTGACCCCAACAAAAGTGCTTGGAGCACTATTCTGTGCAACTTTTCATTTGGGCTCTCAGTGACTCCACATGGTCAGAGACCCACAGGTCAAACGCTCCAGATATCAGAGCAGTTAGGAGAAGGAAAGCAAGCATTGTATAGAATCTGACAGGCCATTAGAAGTAGCTAATAAAGCCATATTTTGTTTGTAGCCATTTGTTACCAACCCACATTACAAATTTGTCTGCTTTGAACTTTATGGGAACATTCATGCCAGGACTTTTATATACAATGTGTGAAGGAAACGGAACAACTATTGAGCTGTTTAGCTGCGCTTACCGTGACACAAACATGCTGAAAAAACTCCCCCAAAGGGTGACACAAGCCAGCATTCAGTGCTGCAGAAAGTGGCCAGCTCCTCTTCGAATCCATCAAAGGGAAATTCTTTTTTTAAAGCCACATCAGAGAAAGCCATTCACCATTTAGTATTACATCTCTTTTGTAGTTTTTTGACACTTGTATAAGCTTGCTATATAGCTGCTGTGATTTTACACAATGCCCTTAAGAAATAAAAAGATAACGGGCAAATTGTATAAATACCAGAATACCATGAAACAAGACATAACTAAATTTTATTAAAAGCCTAACACCACTGCTATAATTTCAAGCTTCACTGTACAGATAACTTACTGACTACTACCCTAAAGAACCACATTACCCAAAAACAAGTTTAAGAAGCCATATTGAGTATACCAAAATAGGAATACTGAACAAGGAACAGTGATCAAGGGTTTTCATAAGCAGTCTAAAACAGAATAAAGAACTCTCCTGCTTCAGGGAAAAACTACCATGTTCAAACCATTACCCCAAATAGAGTTATATTAAAGCTTTTAATGTACGGATCATCAAAAAAACCCCCTTGGTGCTGCATACAAAGAGTTGAAGTTGTTTTTAAATTTGAAAAACAAAACAAACAAAAACCCCACACCAACACTAAAATACAGAATTACAGTATCCTCTATTCCCCTTCACACGAAAACAGCGGGTTTTTTTGAGTGTATGAAGTGTTCTCAGGTTATGCATCAAAGCTTTTCAGTAATTAGGAGTCTCAATAACAGCATTCGGGACCAACTCAGAGTTTCAGCTCTGTGGCCAAAATGGTTAACATTCACTGTTAATACAACCAGCTTACTCATACCTAGAATAATTATGAGCTACTAAATATACCAAACACTCTGGGACACAGATAATACCCAATACTCTGCTTAAATATCATGATGCTGGAGATAGGACAGAGCAAGTATTAAAAGTAGGACAATTCTTTAAGAAAAAAAACCAGGCAAATTAGTAGAACATTAGCTGATAAATAACTTTATTTCTCTCTACCCTAATAAACACTGTCCATGAAAAACTGGGAGATAAAAAGTCCTTTTTAGTATCTCTGCTTTTTAAACTAGGTGGTTATTGCCAAAACAGTTCAATGTCCACAGGAGCTACTATTTTTTAAGCTGACTGCCAACATCCATTTTTGAGAACTGTTCAGATAAACCAGTCTGTTTTAAAAAGGTCCTGAAAACTGTCAAATTAGTACTAGGTTCAAAGCAAATGGATATATTTTCTCATACCAGTTTCCATTGCTTTTCCTGAGAGTTGCATGTTTCAAATATCATGTAAAGAATTTGTAACACATATACTCTCCTAGGTGCCAAAGATGTAACTTTAAAATGCTATGAAGGTGTTTATTGCCCTATTTTTAGGGATTTACAATTGTGCCATGTGCCAGAGGTAATATATACATCATACTACCAGATTTCACAAAAAATGTGATATCTTGATACAGTAAACTTTTCAGAGAGATCTCTCTGCCAACTGCAAATGAATAAATACCCAGTGAACCGTGGGAAACATCTTACATGTTTCTGATACATTATTCCAAGCCAGAGGTCACATAGTTTATATAAAGTTTTCATCATTTAAGCTGAACATATTCAAGTTGGTTTAAATTCATGCTGGTTTATACCAACAAACAAGAAAATCCCCAAACCACAAGGAGCACACAGAGACAAGGCTAAGTACTTTGTCCATTACAAGACCTTCAAAAATGCAAGCAGCTGCAATGTCTTCACAACATATATTCATTTGTGCTGTTTCCCCCCACAGCGGAATGTGTAGAGCTCAGAAAAGCTGATAAATATTGGTCCAAAATAATTTCCTGATCAAAAATCAACCTAGCCCAAGTACTGCTGCCATTCTTGCTTCTACACTTGTGTAGTAATAGATATTACCAGAATTAACATGTCAAACTCATTACTGATTATCGCGGTTTGGAACAGACAGCTCTTGGTAACAGTATTCTAAACCAGAATCTACTGAAAACATTTGAAAAAGGACACAGAAAAAAAGCCTCCTCCTCACCAGATTGGTTTGTGCAAGAATGGAATTCCTAAAGTTAAAAAATCAATCCATTTCCTCTATGCAAATACACATGTGCAGAAGCACAGAACATGAATGTGCATAAATAGTGCTGTTCTGAACCAAAAGAAGCCTAAGCCGAGTCCACTCACATACAAGCTATCTGTTCCCATATTTTTAAAGACAATTTTTCATCAACCTTATTTAGTCTTTCTTCTTTCACTACTTCTCATCTGCTCATCCCAGATGCAATAAACTGGTATATAAAGTGCTTTCAATTTTAAAATACTGAAACAAACATTATTTTCTTACTGGTAAGCTCGATGGTCTTTCTTGCTGGATTAGATTCAAGTCTTCATGGTTAGGCTTTCCTGGGGCCATAGGGGGTTGAGATCTGGTTCCATAGCCTTCCTGAGACATGTCCTGCAACAACAGTTGTAAAAGAATTATTAACCTGACTCAGTAATTATAATTAAATCTGCATCATGGAAGGGTGAAAATAAAAGAGCTGAGTGCTGATGGTTTTTTTTTATCTGAAGTTTTTACTTGTTAAACCTTTCTGATACAAGTATCAAGTCCACACAGGTACCTCTGTGATATGTGCTGTTTGTAAAGAAAACCAGGGAACTGAGATAAATGCCAACAACCAGCAGGGAATCATACCACTGGCACATGGGAAAACACACTAAACCAAACCACTTAAACAACCCCATTTTACTGTAAAATAGTCAGTGGCAAGCATAAACATTCATCCTACTACTCTAAGACCTATTCTCAAGCATTTTGATAAAGTACTGAGCCAGGTGGAAGACTGGGCTTGAAAATAGGATTGCAATCACGCTGTGTAATCAGACTCCTGTATCAAGCCTGGATTTAATATCAGTACTACTGGCGCAAATTTCAAACCCTGGCCATCAGGTCACAGCACACAGCACAGTCACTGCATCTGCTGGAGGCACATTTTGTTTGAAGGTTAGAGGGCACATGAATTTGATCAAGCATAGCTCCAAAGCTTGTACCAGTAACCTGGGGATTTTCCTCCCTGCACAGGCCCAACCAGTTGTAGCTAATGGCCCAGCACCATCAGTAGTCGTAGTTAATGGCCCCCACCCATGCAGGGGTGGGACGAGCAATGAAACAACCTCCTGTCCTGCAGCCCATCTTCCACCCCCCAGCACAAGCTCAGATCACACAGAGAGATACTTGCCCATTGCAAAGCCTTCAATTCAGGCTTCATTTTAGGTTCTATAGCAGCCCCTACACCAGCTTCTTTAGGGAAAACAACAGAAAGCTCAATACTGACTTCAGCATGTGTAACTGGCAGGGAAAGTTGAAGAACCAGTTCCTGCTAGAAAAGATATCTCACCTTTTTCTTTGTTTTTAAATGATTTAACTCTCATCTCCCCTTCCCTAGCTTACTACCAGTTCAGTTTGCTTCAGGCACCCTAAGGCTTTGGATTTGGCGGCATACCTGAAGCAGGCAGAAGCTGCACGGCACAGAAGGACGGGGCATGCTGCCCTCTGCCCCACCCCACCCCACCCTGCTGCTGCCTGTGCAGGGCTGCCGGGCAGCCCAGTGCCCACAGCCGCGGCTGCAGCTCCTGCACAGACTCCAGAAGGCAGCTGGCTGGCAGAGCAGGAAAGCTTTCTGTCTCTGGTTTTAGCCCAGATTCTGACAGAGAGAAATTTGTTAACAACTGTACCATTTTCATTCAGCCCCTTCCACCCATTTGGACTCTCACAGATTATTTTAAGGGATGCAGAAAATTCAATGGGGCTAATTAAACAAACCCCAGCAAACCTGATACGATATAAACCCAGCAATAAATGACCCTATCCCTAAGCCTGTGCCAAGTAAAATCAAGAAACGCTTAAAAGGCCAGCACTTCAATGTGGTTACCAGCAGAGGGTAACAATTAGGCTTAAGGGTGACAAAGGCTGATGGCTGAATGATTATTATCCCCTGTGACCCCCCGCACTCCCTCCCGCCCAGATTTCCACTTGTCACACAGCTCTCCTGCTGCGCACACCAGCAGGTTCCTGTGGATTAACAGTGAGGTTTAAAATCAACAAATGGCACAAGGCCTCCATTCAGCAGCCTTCACCCCAGTACAAAGGAGTAGAAAGGTGCAGGACAGCTTCACAATAGGCAAACAAATGAGCAAACCTCTGCTTTCCTTTTTATTTAAAAACGCGCATGCACACACACACACACACACACACACCACGCTCACGCACGCTGGGGCTGTCACTACACAGGCATTCCCAAAAAACCTGGCAACCCCAGATTTCAACTTCCAATTCAGCATCCGATGCTGTTCTTCCTAATTCTTAAAAATTATACCAAATAAAAACCACTTGTCAAAACAACAACAACAAAAACCACACAGCTATACCAAGAGTGGTGAAAAAGGATAAATGGGATATTCAGTTTAGGAGACCTCATTGTAGAAACACAATTGTTCCTTTTTCCAAACAGACACTACAGGATTTTGCTGGGAAGCAAAACATGTTTTTAATATTTTGAAAAATCAAGAGGCATTACTTCCTTAAGAAAGTACCAAGCATGGGTTTTCCCACATGTTTGCAAGATTTTAACCTTGCTTCCTACTGAAATTTCCAGGGAGACCAGAGCAGGAGAGAGAAGAGACAGCATGCTTTCTCATGAGAAATACTGCAGGTTAAATGGAATTTACTTTTACCTGGGTATTTGAAGACTATGTATGAAATGTCTTTCCACACACTGAAGAGCACAATAAAAATCCCAGACACAACACCCTTTGTCTTTTTAAATGCACTGTTTTCATAGAGCTTTCCCTTCTGTCTGTAGAAAAGTCAAATCCATTTGCTGAGTTGTAGGTGAGGTTTGCAAACACACAGACATTTGTGTTTGTTAATGATGCAGGCACCTGTGCACTCCAAATGGGACTGAGATTACAAACTCTTTCTTACATTCTCTGTAAAGCTATGTAGATACTCAAATCACTAGAAACTTGGAGAGCAGCTCTTGAGAAATAAAGGATCAGTTTGCTCTCAGTAAGCTGCAGGCTTGGGAATCTCCCAGATGAAATATGCATGGGACTGTGTGTATAATTTTATCTGTTTATACACATGTATTGTCCAATAAAAACAGTCCATTTATATCCTAAACATAATGATTAAATAATAGCACATTTCACTAAGAGGTTGGCTTCATAACCAAAGTAGTGCTTAGTATCATTTTCACTGAAAAACAGAAGAGAGAAAATCCCTACTGCCTGTCTTCAGTTCTGCATTTGGAAATTTTTGTTAACATACAGCATATTACAGAATAGCGACAACAGATTTTGAGAGATAAATAAGAAATAGGGACAGAAGTATTAGAGTAAATTGTCTGTCACGGAGGAAATGCATGGAATTGGCAATTCTCACAGCTTTGAAAGGTCATTTTTCTTCCTAGCATCTAGGAATGGATTTATCGGGCACTGAAGAGAGGGAACATAAGGGGAAGAGAAACATGTTACCACGTGTTGTGCTACAGTCATGGCTGAGGAATTCCCCATTGATACTGGGGCTCAGTCTTCTCCTGGGATTCCTGACTTTTTTTTTTTGTTTGACTCCCAGTATTTCATCCATCATTGACATCAGCTTTCAAAATAAAGCTTATGACTTTTTATGAATCACAGAAAATCCTTCTCCCATAGATGAGCATGTGTGTGAGACAGAAACCCAGGCTTTTATAAACAGAAGGCTACAAGTTTCCACTCAGAACTTCCCAACTTGGCACAAACCCAATCATATCATAGCTGTTACAGCACAAACTGTCAACAAAGTTGTAAAATAACTAAAGTCAGGGTTTCCCCCATCAGATTTTAGAAAAGCACAAGGACAAATAATCAGCAAGTCATAAACATATACTCAAAATAGCTGAGGTTTAGGCTTTTTTAGACTTTTAAAAACACATTTATGATTAAAATAGGTAGACAAAAAAAGGACTAGACAGAGTCTAATGCCTATATATTGGGTAAGCTGTTCAGAAATAGATCCATAAACAATTATTATATTTGGGAAGCGATAATAACAACAATCAACTGCTTATAATTCACAGAGCCTGGACTAGTTATTCATCTCCTATTTACATACACTTTCAGCTTTTTCTGCAAATTGAGGAATATGGAGCTCAAGATTTGTGTAGTCTAAGGAGTAAGGGAGGAAATGGGATATTTTCATCCCTCTTGTTCTCTGTTACTGTATTCATCTTATAGACTTTCCAAGTCTCTAATTCTGGTGTGGGATTTCACTACCACAGACGTTTAAAGTGACAGAGTGAGCCTACACACTGGCCTGCAATAAAGTCAAAGGCTCCTTGTTCCTGCCTCCCACAAGTCTTGCAGCTGGACACACATCCCTTAGTTTGTACTAGTGGTCTTTATTAGATCACTTTGTTAGACGGTGCAACTTAAAACTTGCCAGGTAAGTAACCCCTTCCCCTTCAGCTTTATCATGGCTCACTGAGCTGAGCTGGCCTTGCAAAGGGTTGAGTGAGCAAGAGAGGAAGGAAACTTCCCTTCTTTGGCAGCAGCCAGCCATGAGCCTGGCTTCACACTTGCAGGAGTCAATTACACTGCAACCACTTTGGAGCAGGCCACTGCCAGACAGTTTTTTCCCTTTTTCCCCTCACCATGTGCAGTGGTAATCAGTGTCATGCTTTCATTCTCTAGCTGGATGTAGCCTAAGACAAGCAAGCCTGTCCACATGGATGAGTTCTCTGCAAATCTGAATGAATACAGCACCAAAATGATTGATACCATGTAGATGCAATGCACATTTGTTTTAAGTTTTGCCGAAGAAGATTAGATCTAATTATTAAATAGTTTAAATTATTTTTAATGGAAAATGAAAGCTCAGTGAAAATATTAATGTTTGCGGGAAAACCACATTTAAAGGAGGGCTGGGTGAGAAATGTCATTCAGGTTTCATTCACTTCTACTGCAGTGAGTTTCAGAGGGATAACATGACCACCCAGGAAGATAAGTACCATGACGGTTAAACAGAAAGAAGATAATTTATTTAAAATAATATGCTAGAATTCAATCTGAAAAAAACTCATTAAAAAGTATTATAGCCCATGTTCTTGATTCAGTGGGTTAAACTTAAGAACACTTCAAGTCTGAGAGCAGCAAATTCTATAGCAATGTGACAACAAGCAAAACCGAAAACAAATGTTAATTCTTTTTTTTTTTTTCCTCAGACCACTTGAGAATGGAAATCAGAACCCAGTAGAGCAGCCAAGAGAAGTGGACAGCCCTACAGTACAAGAGCATTTTACTCATCTCTGAAGGAATACCACTGAACAGAAAGAAGCCAAGTGATATGTTAGGGGCTATGCTAGAAAGATATGCCTTGTTACCAGTCAGCCAAGCATCTGTTCATTCTGTGCAGAC